ATATTTGCTTTGGTCTGTTGATAAGATGATGAGGTAGATCCTTCAGACACTGTTTGATAATTACACATGTCCTTCCAACACAAGGGAGGCTGTCACAGCAACTGAAATGAGAACAGAGGCGGCAGAATGCCTATCTTTCCTGGAGATGGAAGTGGTAAAGAAAATCAAGGGACGATTGTATTGTGTATAAGATTTCTTTTGTAAAAATGATCAAAACTGGGGACCAGCAGATGGCACGGTTATGTCACTGGACTTCCATGTAGTTTGAGTCCCAGACCCAGTGGCTTTAACTCACCCAGGCACATGAGCATGAGTGCCCAAAATCCCAAGAGGAGAATGGAGAGGAGATTTCTGTGTGGCCATCACCCACCTCCACCCCCGGGGGTCATTCCTCACTTTCCCTTTCACTGTCTCTGTCTGTCTGTCTCTCTCTTTCCAGCAAACACACGTGCCCTATGACAAAACCTCTAGTGTGTGTGTGTGTGTGTGTGTGTGTGTGTGTGTGTGTGTATACATATATATACACGTATATAAGATACATAATGAAAACCTAGGTGTCTTTCCTGACAGTCATTGCTCCTACAATATAACAGATTCACACCCTTTTTTAATTTCTAGGAGTCAAACTTATCATCTTGAAGAGGTCTTGCATGTTCAAAGGCATCTGTGTATTCACATAACGGGAAAAAATAAATCATGGGAACCAAGAACTTTCATTCCATTCTTCACATCAGGATGTTGATTTGAACTCAAGTCTATGTCTACAATCATCTTCTATGTGGTCATGAAATTTAAGTTTGTGAGACTCCCATTGACCTATGACCTGATTCAATATCTTCTGGAGTCATCCTGTCACTTGGGGTATTAGGGTGGCCAGCCACAGAATGAATCTCTACCTTCTAATTTTTTGGCCATCTTGCTGACTTCTTTCCTTCTTCCTTTTATAGCCAACCAGCCCATTCTGGGGATGCCTAGAGGGCATGTGTAGAGGAGGTGAGAAGCCTGTCCAACATGACAGAGCAGTTTGGGCTCCTTCACCAGGTGCCCTTTGAGCTTCTTTCTGTGGAATCATTACTGGAATGTCTAGGTCACTGCGTATTTGGCTGCCTCTCTTTTGGTGGCCATGTTTCCCTGCTTGCAGGCTCAAATCACACAAGCTCTGAAACAGAGCAGCCATCAAAACTCAGAGCCCTTGCCACAGAGCAGTGACTTTCCTTCAAATTAAAAAAGGCAGTGGGAACCTCTTTTCAAATGCACGGTGACAACCTTGTATGTGAAACAGGTTCATGTGGAGCTGCTCCAGCTTGGTGAGTATGGAGTGCAGGCCACCAGAACTCACCGAATTTCCTTGGCCCCATTCACACCTTCATCCACAGCAGCTCCAAAGTATATCTGCAAACCCAGAGCATAGTGTGAAAATGCTGCCTAGACCTATATTGCTTGTTTCTAAAGGTGGGTGTGGGAGCCCAAGGCTTGCATTGAATTGCATAGGGAAGTTCTCTTCTTTGACCAATACCTTATTCAGCAATTATGAAGAAGTGTTTCAATGATTTTTCTCTTTCTAATTCTACTAAGGTGTGTGTGTGTGTGTGTGTGTGTGTGTGTGTGTGTGTGAGCGCGTGTGTGCGTGCTCACTTGCAGTATATCTACCCATAGTTGAGAGTTTGTTTATTCGAATTACAGTGCTAAAGGCTGTGTACACATTATCTCAGTCTTTACAACAAATTAAGAAAGGAAGATAACTGGTTAAAGACATACTTCTAGTTATGGTTTAGACTTCACCAAACCTAGATCTGTTTTACCCTCTATTCAGTCAACCATTTATCACTGAAATGGAAATCCATGTGTCCAGGGCAGGCTGGCTCAGTTACTTCACAGGGATCTAACTCAGTACTTACGCACCATATTCTTCCTGAAGCAATTTCCAAACTGAAGGTGGGAAACAGAGCCAGCCAGGGTAGTGGTGCCAGAGACAGAGAGGAAATCTTGAGCCAGCCAGCCTGCCGAGACTATCTTGCCCGTCTTATGTGGGTTTGGTATTTAGGCTAATTATTATAAATAATGATAATTTAGGCAGTTTTAATGAGTCCTGTAACTCAAAGCCAAATTTTAACTAATCCTGTAACTAGAGATTTGATCATCCAAAATTGTGTGCTTTACCTCCCAGAGTTTAATATTGTAATTATTGCCATTCTTGAACATAGTTAATTCCTAGATTTGACTTAATAAATCATCATTTCCTATTGAGAGGTTAGACAGGGGTGACAGGGAAAACAATGAATATTTCACTTGAGTTAAAAATCCTTTAATCTTCTTGGACCCGAGTTTCCTCAGGCCTGTTTTTTAAATCTAAAGTCTGACTTCCTTCAAGTATTATTTTACATTCCCTATTAATTCTTTAGACGATGGAACAGGGTACCTCATTAAATTTTCCTGTGTCTTCAAATGTGAATAGTGACTATTACTAAGAAAGAACTAGATTAAGATTTAAAATGATTCAGCCATGTGACATTAGACGGATGTAGACTGGATATGGTTTCGTTACTGATAAGCACAGGGTAATTGACTTATGAAGGTAGTAAACCTGAACTATTTCAAGAATAAGATTGCAAGTCCTGCAGTAATAGCCAGCAATGTGTTGCATGAGTATGACACCATATGGATTTTGTATATGAGAACCATGAGGTAATGGAGTACCAGTAAGGTTCAAGCTTTCATTTGAGTTGCTGTTGAATTTGGAAAACTGCAGCAGAAGCATGTCAGAATGCAAGCTAGCTATTAGGTTGTTGAGAAAGTCATGCCATGTTTTTCTGTGAAAAATGTGTCATGTCCCAACAACCCAATACAAACGTGACTCAAAACTTAGAAGGTAGGCTCTACATAAAGGAATAACTTTATAGCTGCTAGGTCTCTTTTTCACCAAGAGGAGATTCAACTTAATTGTAGCATCCAAGTAGATGACTGACAAAATGTGCTTTTTTGTTCATGCAAGCTAATAGTTTTTAAATAATTACTTAATTTTATTTATCATTATTATTAATTTGACCAGAAAATGAGAGAGAAAAAGAAGGAAAGTTAGAAAACAAGCTCGGATCTGAGACTCAAACCTCAGTCAGCCATGTGAGAGTCCATGGCCTTAACTACCATGCCACCTGCTGACCCCACAAGCTAATATTTATTAGCTACCTTGAAGACATAAAGATAATACATTCCTGCAGTTATAGATATTCTCTATTTCAAGCTCAAGTGGGCAGGAGAGAAGAACAAAGTGCAAGTTAGAGTCAAATGTACTTAGACTTTGAGGGCATATAGGTTTCCTGCTCAGACCCTTTAAATATATAAGTAGAAGAGTATATTTATGGAGATAGTTTGAGTATAGTAGAGGTGTTTGATGCAAAAGAATATAAATTCTTTCTAGTATGCTTCTGAGTTGCCTTCTTTCCTTCAGAAGAAATAGAAAACTGACTCTAGAAATTCAAATTGGATTATCCTCAGATATGTTATCTATTCACTGAATTGTCCAAAAAGTCAGTTGTTTCAGATACAAGTTCGCTTCTCTCCCCTAAATCCCACTGAGATTTTTCTTGCGGGGAAAGATGGTGTTGGAGATTGCATTGATTTTATTGTCTAATTTATGGAGAACTGACACCTTTACAGCAACAAGCTTCCAATCCATGACCATGGTATAACTTTCTATTTATTTAGGTCTTCAAGTTTTCTCAGCAGAGTATTTCATTTCTCACTGTAGTGATCTTGTGCATTTTTAATTAGATGAATCTAATTACTTAAGGTTGTTTGATGCTGTGATCAATGGCATGGTCTTAGCCCTTGAATGCACATCCAATAACATCTATTTCTAACACTTCTGTTCACCATGGACATGAGAAGAAAGTTAATGATCAGTTTTTTTCTTTTCCAAGAGTTAATACCCCTTTTCTCACTCATAAAAGTAAAAAAAAAAAAAAATAGAATAGCTTCACTGCAAAAAACCTATTTCACAAACCAAACATTATAACCCAGAAATTATTCTTTTGGTCTAAACTAAATTCCTCTAGTTGGCATTTCATCTTAATTTTCCTTTTGTTTGGTTTACACTTTGCCTTCTGCAAAGATTTTATAGTGAGCTTTCTCACTCATAAAAGTAAAAAAAAAAAAAATAGAATAGCTTCACTGCAAAAAACCTATTTCACAAACCAAACATTATAACCCAGAAATTATTCTTTTGGTCTAAACTAAATTCCTCTAGTTGGCATTTCATCTTAATTTTCCTTTTGTTTGGTTTACACTTTGCCTTCTGCAAAGATTTTATAGTGAGCAGTCTGGTTTTGTATCATGGTGCAGATATCCTATCCAAGAAAGCATGTAAAAGTATGCATAACGTTTATTAGGAGGGCGTTTGCTTATGGTATAATACTAATTTAAAAATACAATAAAATTCTCATTTTATTTCTTAAACATGTATGCTTAGGGAAAAAAGTTTAAAGATGTGTAACACTGATTACCTCTGGGTCACATGTTTATGGACTATTTTTAATACTTTCTATATTTTCAAAATTTGTATGATATACATGTATTATCTTTGCATTAAGCAAATAAATAAATAAAAGTGTGGATGTTTGAATGGATAAAAGGCAATTTAAAACACTTACTAAAATCATTGCCCTGGACTTTACTTTCTCCCTTCATTGTGTAAGGTCTCTTAAAATTTGTTAGTGCAATTGAAAATGGGTGTGTGACGTATCTTAAGATAATCAAGAAAGATATACCTCTTTTTCAGGAGTGTCAGTTTTCCTGCCAGTCCTCTGACTGGCTGTAAATTCCATACAGGGCTGGAATTCGCTCCTCACACTTGGACCTCAGAGCACCTGTTTTATTTCACACTCCCTTGATTCCTGGGGTAAATCCCATATCCACAGTTCAGGCTCCAGTTAAATTCATTAGTGGGTCCAGATGTGTGTCCCCCTGTCAGCTGGCCTAGTAACCCTACTGTTTATTGACAGGTTCTCAGGAATCAGATAGCTCTCAGTCGGCCAAGAAAGACATGCTGGCTGCCTTGAAATCCAGGCAGGAAGCGCTAGAAGAAACATTACGCCAGCGCCTGGAGGAGCTGAAGAAACTCTGTCTCCGAGAAGCCGTAAGCAGTTAACATCTTGTCCTGTGCAAATCTGTGTTGTCGGTGACATCATCACTCTTAGCATATTGACAAAACACAAAGGATAATGAAGGGAGTGAGAACTCCCACAGATGTTGGGAGCATCCAGACCTTGCTAAATGTTGTGTCAGAAGCACCATGAGGGAAGAAGCACCATGAGGGAAGACAGTGGTGCAGTGGTAAAATGGGACATTCTGCAAGGCAAACCCACATGGGAAGGTTCTAGGTTTGTATCCAGAGACCCCACTGGATACAAACACCAGGCACATGTGTGCCCATGACCTGGGGCTGTTTGGGGGTGGATCGTGGCATCAAGACTGTTGGGTGTGCTCTCTCATGCATGCATGTGTGCATGTGGAATTGTGGAAGTGATAAACTTGAAAAGAAAGAAAGAAAGAAAGAAAGAAAGAAAGAAAGAAAGAAAGAAAGAAAGAATTAGTTGGTGCCCACAGATGGCGTGATGGTTAAGAGCACTGGGGACTCCCACATGGCTGACCGCAGTTTGAGTCCCAGACCTGGCAGCTTGCTTTCTCTCTCTCTCTCTCTCTGCCCATTTCTGGTCAAATTAAAATACATAAATAAAGTTAAATAAAACAGTTCTTTAAAACAAAAAGAATTAGTGGATGTTGATAAAATACTATGACACTGATTAAAGCTGGTACTAGCAAAACCCTCCCTAGGACCCCCGTAGAGATCAAGTTGTAGTAACAGTCTCATACTTGCACGGTCTGCCACAACTCATAGAACATTTCATGTGGTGTTATCTCATGGAGTTAATGGCCCGCCACTCTCTTCCCCGCATTCCGTGCCTGAGTTTATTATTGTGGCAGCCTTTGTTTCTCTTGGGGAAATTTCTATTTTTCTTTGGACATCAGATTGAGAAGTATCACTAGGGGGTCAAGAAGAAAACCAGGATTTCTCTTGCTAGATAATGCAACAATCTCCTTTCAACCTCAGGGTCTGGGGGTTCTTTGATCCTTTTTTTTTTTAATGAAATCCTAGCTTAGTGATATGTTTTAATGTTATGCAAAGCAATGCTTTCTCGAGGCTGAGTACATGCCAGTCTCAGTTTTCATTAGGATGCCAAAGCTGCTGCAGTTACTGCCTCTATGTATTTCAGTGTCCATTTCCACCTTCTTCTGTTTATTCCGTGACTCTCTGTAGCAATGTTGGGAGTTTTGTTTTTTTCATGTAACAGATTCTCATGCATGTGTGTGTGTACACGCACACGTGTGCATGTGCTTGCACGTGGACATAGTGGGATGGGAGCTCTCCCTGGAGAGACTGCACTACTCATAGCAGCACGAAGAGCTCTGTTAGTAAACAGTTGAGAATGGGAAGTATAAAGAAGTTCCCCAACTAAAACGGAGAGACATGTTCCCCTCCCCCAAATAATAATGCCTTGCAGCAGGAAGAATGAACAAGGGGCCACATAGTGAGATCACATTACATTTCAACTTGGCTTAATTATGGTCTGGATTGATTTAAACCGGAGCCTGCTCCAAGCAGAACCACATTAGCACAAATCCATTGCAAATCTTAGGAAAGCAATTGGCCTGGCTGGGGAATGTGCTATGTGATACTGTTAATATTAGCAACATTTTTATAAAGAATATGCTTGAAGGATTGAAAAAATATGGGTTTTGGTGTCTGCCTTTAATAATTTGTAAAGCCTTGTTTTGTTTTTAATAAAGGAAAAGCCCCTAAACCCAGCAGGGAATCCACATTAGAAAATGTAAGAAACATGTCAGGGCAAGGTTAGCATGCGTTATAAAAATCTCACTGTCTCTCTTAAAAACAAGAGCAAAGGAAGGAAAACAAAGCTCCTGCTTCTTATAATGTTGACACCAGAAAACATAACTTGAGCAGAAGAAATAACCCATCAAGAAGTCAGCCGCAGGCGGGTTGCTTTTGTGCTCATTCCTTTATAGTTATTTCCACCGTAGCCTCCTCAACTCATCTGTAAGAAAGAGATAGGAAGAGCTTCTTGCTGGGTTCTGTTCACACATGGCTCTCCTCCCAGCTCAGTGTGTCAAGAAGCACCAGATGACCCCTAGGGAGTGGACAGCCAGAGTGAGGTACAGTGGGGTGTTTGGCAGAACAGAAAGAGAGGACACCTAGCCACGATGGCACAGGTGAGAGCGTGCTGAACTGCAGTGCTGGAAGCCACATGGTGACTGTGGTTCAGATCCTTAGCTTAGCTGCCCTGGTGTACACCAGGCACAGGCCCAAGCTTCCATGAGCTAGAAGACTGGAGGAAAGGGCTTGCACTGTGACCAGATACTGTGAAAGGGACTCCTCTCTCCCGCTCCCCACTCTCCTGGGTGTGCACACTATCTTACCATGAATAAAGGAAAATTTTTTTTTTTTTAAATTAAAGAGAGGAACCAAGCTGAGCCCCTCACAGCAGAGGATTAAATTACTTATTCACCACGTGGCTCTAGTTACATATGAAATCAGATTAAATATCTGGAGAATCAAGACTTTGACTGAAATACCTTCAGGCAGATGATGAAAAATCAGTAGCCTCGTTTTTCAAAACTATATTTTAAACCACAAACACACTTTAGAGTTATAAATCCATGGCAATTTTAACAACGTTTCCCTCCTTTTTATAAGTTTCAAGGTTCAAAAGGGGAAAAAAAAAAAAAGTCCTGACAATTTAAAACCCTCAATGGGTTCTATTATTTATAGTCAGGCTTTTAGGGCAGCAGATTGAAAAAATAAAAAAAAATTTTAAAAGCTGCAGAATAAACACATAACTACCCTAGAGACATTTGAACCACATTTTTTTTAAAAGAAAAAAAGGAAAAACAGGGAAAATTGCGGCATTTCATACTCAGATAGTTGGCCATTGTGCTCTGAAATGCTTACACTGAGCAATAGAAAGTCCAGCGGGTCATTTCCTGGCAATCTAAACACAAAAAGAAAGAGGCCCAGGAGAGAGCGTGAGTGTGCGTGCTTGTGCTCACAGTCACACGCACACTCACATACCAGCACACAGCAGTGGGGGGAGGAGGGGCCAGGGATCCTCCCATGGCCGGTGCTTTCCCGCCAGACACATACATCAGAGCTGCTCCACACAGGAGCTTTTGTGCCTTGCCAGAGTAGCCCTTTCAGCCTTGGTGCAGCATCTGCTTGGACTGCAGACCGGAAGCCGGGAGCTGACCTTGGCCTGGAAGTGCCCACTTTGCTGCTATAGGTGCACTGAGGCTCCCCTCAGCCTTTTCTGGTCCCTGGACGTGACTCCTTCCAGTTGGTGCCTGGTCTCCACAGTGTGGGCTGGCGGCCAGCTCAGGTTTGATCTTTATTTAGCCCAGATAGAACCCACTCATATACAGCCCTGTTCTAGGCCCGAACCATTCTTGAGACCCTCAGCCTTGATCCAGGATCCTGTCACCATGGAGGTCTGTCAAGTAAATTCACTGTGACCAGACCCACAATAATTAGATTTCCAGAGCCCCACGTACAGGCACAACAGATTGTTGTTGTAGCCTTGTCAATGATGTGGATTACATTTTCAGTTCCTATTAAAACTCTTTATTTGTATACTGTTCAGTGTCAAATTTTAAGTTCAGCCTCTTCCTTGAGTGTCTGACCAGAGTGGAAAAATTATTTACACATATTCAGTTTCTAAATTGTGTAATAATATGCTTTTCTGGGATTTGCCGTGTAGATGTCATTTCTTTTCAGAAAACTCATTTAAAAAGAAATTTAAACCTAGGTGTTTGAGAGGGAATATCTGATGCTGTGGAGAGAGCAGAAGTTTGGAGCTAGAAAGATCCGAGAGCTCACGTTGACCACGCCTTGCTGACTGTTGACCCTGCCTGGCACAGAGTAGCACACCGGAAACACTCATTACATTAACAAATGAGTGAATAAAATGTGGATTTTATCATGAAAGCCAAAGGCAATTTTATTTACTTAAATTTATTTTGAAAAAAAAAAAAAAAACCACTTCTCAACATATGTGTATTCCGTAAAGAAAGAACTACTCTCATATATTTTTAGAAAAATGAAAACTTCTGGGGCCCGCAGGTGGTGTGGTGGTTAAGAGCACTGGACTTCCACATGGCCAACCATGGTTCAAGTCCTGGAACTGGCAGCTTTCTTCCTCACTTTCCTTCTCTTTCTCTTTCTGTATCTCTCTGGTCAAATTAAAATAATAGTAATAAATAAATAAAGTTAAATACAATTATTTAACAAAAGAAAATTGAAAATTTCAAGCTGTCCCCTATAGCCTCATGGTTAAGAAAACTGGATCCCACATGGCTAACCATGGTTTGAAGCATGGTCCCTCTGGCTTGAAAAACGTGCTGGGTGCATGTGCATGTGTGCCCAAAATCTTAACAGGATGGAGAGATGGAGGAGGAAGGATTGTGATGTAACCATGTCCCTTTGGAGGACGCTTCCTCCCTCTCTCTCCTTTTTTCTGTCTCTCTCTCTCTCTCTCTGATGAGCTCACACTTTTTCTGGCAATTAATAAAACATAGAAAGAAATTTTATTTTATAAACTCTTAATTAGGCGTGACACTTAATGGTTAATGCTTCTAATCTAGGCATTGAATCTGTGCATTGAAGTGTGTGCGTGTGTCCTAGAAAACGGGCATGTGCTCAGCTCTGATTTATGCTCCCTCTAAATGCTATTTCATATATGCAGGAGCTCACGGGCAAGCTGCCAGTCGAATATCCCCTGGATCCAGGGGAGGAGCCACCCATTGTCCGGAGAAGAATAGGGACAGCCTTCAAGCTGGATGAACAGAAAATCTTGCCAAAAGGAGAGGTGTGTCTTTCCTGTCTGTTGTTGGGTTCTCTTACATTGTCCTTATTTTTCCCATTTGTTAGGGCTTCCAGATTTTCCATAATGATTATATTTCTACCCAGTGCAAGTATTTGTCCTTCTACCTGTCTCCAATAAGCTGGTTGGTCAGTTAGTGGTTCCCCTTGGTAGAATCCGTTTACTTGCATTAGCAAGCATTTGGATTCCTGATGAGGTTACTTGTCTGACACTCTCAGCTCACCACGGCAGCCAAGTTCAGCTTAGAAAGGACATTCCAATAACATCATGTATTTGCTTCTCTGTGGCCTCCCAGCCCTCTGTCCCTCAGAACCAAGCCTAATGTCTGATCTGTAGAAGAAACCACCACAGGGGAAGGAAACCTTGGGCCATGTCAACAGGTGCAAGGGTGTACTGGCTGGAGAAGAACAAGGAGGGCTTGTCCTCCATGGTCCCAACCTGGCCAAGCTGCTAGATGGGCTGCGAAAACATGAGCAAGATGCTTGATCCGTCCTGGCCCCACTCATCTGTGTTCAGGGGAGCCATTTTTATCCTCAACACTGGTGGGGACTAGGGAGTTCAGAGTTGATGAGGGTAGGGGGGACTTGAGACTCTGGCTGGGTAATAGGCATCGAACCTCAGACCAAAAGAAATGGAAGGCCAGGTCTACCTCCAGGATTCACAGTCATGTCTAAAAAGTGTCTTCACGAGCGTATTCCGAATAGTTACTAATTAGCATGCAGTACTATACAGTTTTAGTCTTTTAAGAATGTGATTTGGAGAAACTGATGTTCTCATGCAATACCCACAGTAGGGTTAGTGTGAGGGTGAATATAGAGGGTGACCCAAGTGCTTTGGAATCAGTGAATGTGGTGGGAAAAAAATCTCCTGAGATCATTACAGGTCCCTGGGAGAATGATGGACACACCAGAGTGCTTCATCTCAAATTAACACTTGAGACCAGCAGCTGGCATAATGGTTACGGCACTGGACTCCCATGTTGTCAACCATGGTTCGACCTGATGGCTTAAACTCACACTGGGTGTATGCGCCTGCATGCCCAAGATCCCAAGAGGAGAAGGGATGAGAAGGGACTGTGGCATGGCCATCCCTCCTGGGGGGTGATTTCTTGCTTTCTGTCTCTCTGTCTTTCTTGCGAGCACATGCGCTCTATAGCAAAAACATCTCCCCCCCGCCCAAAAAAAAAAAAAAAAAAAGAAAGAAAATTAAAGCTTGACCAGACAGTTTTCCTAGTCTATACAATAAAGTTCATAACCCTTACTTCTACAGCCTGTCACTAGGATTAAATGAGCTAGTATATGAAAAACATTTAACTTGACATTTGCCACCTGTGAGACACTCAACAAACATGAGTTGCATGAAGTGGAGATGAACAGTCAGAGGAGGAGTACAGTGGCCGTGAGTGATGGGGGTGCCTGGGAGTGATGGAGGTCACTGCAGACCCAACTGCTCATCAGAATTGCCCAAGGAACTTCAACTCCCCTTGCTGCTGGACAGACACTTGGCACTTTAACTTTTACAAGTGACCCCATGTAAGGGAGGACCCTGACACAGATCCCATCGGTCTTCCCTCATTTCATTGTACCTTTCAAACTTCTCAGCACAGAGCAACTACTTTAGTTTCCTGAGAATCCCATGTGCATCCATGTCTTCCTTACCCGTTCCTCCATGTTCTCTCTCCTAAATGAATGAAAGGAAGCAGAGTTGCTCTGGGGGGAAGGGACCCACAGTGGTTCTGTAGCTGCTCCAGTCTCTTTTGGAAGTGCATGTTGCTTCCTGGTTTGTACAAATACAGCCTTTGCACAGACAGGGTATTCAGCCTTGTACTTGTCTTGGTTTAAATAGCAAGAAATGGTTCTGGACTCTCATAAAACTCTGGGTCACTATCTTGGAGTGGGGCTATGGAACAGCCTGGAACAGCTGCTGGTGGAGCTGTGTCCCTTAGTGACTTGCTTGTTTCAAAACTCTGGGCAGGAGTCCACTAAAATATCCTTCTGCCTCCGAGAGAACAAAAGCAGCCAGCATCGGAAGGATTTGGGAGTTTATCACCCAAGTAGTTTTGTTTAACCTTCACCTTTGCCTCTCACTCCTGGTCCCTGCCCGCTTCACATCTAAAGTGCTTGAAAGTAAATGAAACCAGGCTGCGATTGTTGTCCTCAGTGGAGGAGCCTGGCGCACTGTGCCCGCAGGCCACT